CCGTTGGTCTTTTTCTCGTTTCTTCTGTTCACCGCTCTCCCCTCGAGTTTTTACTCGCTCCTCATTCTTGCTTTTTTTCAATCTTGGACTATTTAGCTGCCTCGGTTCCTTGGCAATCGTACATTTAACGAGGTCTACGAGTCATCGCTGGCAGACGGCATCAAACCGAAGCCATCAGACAGTACCAGGTAATTGCAAAGTAAATTCGAATCCCTTGCTGGTTACCTAACCTCTTCTGACTCCTGTGCCGCTCTGCTGTTTTGGCTAACAACGGATAGAAATAATCGAGGCCAGCATCGTCCAACTCGTTGGTCCCGTCGTAGTCTATACTGCGTAGCGCTCTCCGCAACCTTTGCAGAATTTGATTTTGTCCCCATAAAGGTCGATCTCGCCCGTGTTTTTTTTTACCGCGGTTCAATTTTCTGCCTGCTTGTACTCCTTCCAAGTGTCAAGTCTAATCTCTCGTCGTCATCGATTGAGGAGAAAACGGGTTTAACGCGCGGTATCAAGTGGCGGAGAAGAGGGGACCGCTTGCCACTCTTCAATTAGCGCAACCCAGAAAGATGTCGGGTTGAGGACCCGCGCTAGCTCGTTCATCTACCTCTGCCTCACAACTGCCCCCCTCCCCCTCCCCATCTTCATGTCCCGATTAGGCAAAGTCTGGGACGTTTGTGAAGGGCTTTGCTCTGTCGGCCCTGAGTATTTAAGTCTTCCCACCCTCCCTCCTTACCAGCTAACACTTTGGCGCAAGAGCACAGGAGTCCTTTCATCTTGCAGGCTAGCAAAGCACAACTGCGCCTTACTTTCTACGTTAATGTGTAAAAATAACTCTGAATTCGACCCGGTGCTATGTGAGCAGCCAGTAGGGACCTACGCGATCGCATAAGACAAATAACGCATGCCAATTTTCGGGAAACAAAATGGTTAATGAACTTTCGCTCAAGCTTCCTTCCTGAGGTGGTTTTTGGGTTTAAGTGCTGTGTGAAGGAGGAGGACGAGAAGGAGGGAGATATATACAGTGGAACCTCGGGGAACGAGATTTATCCGTTCCGGCAACAAAGTCGTCATGCGAAACGTTCGTCTTGCGAAACGTGGTCGATCAAACTGCATCACTGTTGACTGATTGGCCGCAGGCGATCGAGGAACCACGCCATCGGAGCACGGTGCGAGCTGGCCAGGTATCTGACATTAAAATTTAAAAAAAACACCGATGAACGGAATCCGTTGGCGTCGTTTATGGGAGAGAGAGCCTCGGAAAAGATGCTGGTTTGAACTTACCAGCATGCCAAACAAGCTTGAACAAAGAAGAACCCGCAAGACGGCACGTAACAGATTATATCCGAAGTCAGTGCAATCACCACGAAGAAAATCGCGAACGCCAAGTTCTTATATTTGGTACGTAAGTACGTACTGCTCTCCCACAACTATCGTTCATTCTGCGCCAATCCCTACGGTTACCGTAGGCTAAGACTGATTGTGTTGTGTCGCTCTTTCCTGTTCGCAGTCGAAGGGTATGTCTGTCAATCAAATCATGCTGCCCTATTATAAGATTTAAGACTTCTTTCCCCC